TAATATATTCAGTCTTATTCTCTATCCCCTTTTTAATGATCCCTAACATCCTGTTTACTTTTTTGACCGCCTCTGCAGACTGCACGGACATCTTCAGAGAACTATCCACAGCGACTCCAAGATCTTTTTCCTGACTCGTTGTAGCTAAATTAGCCCCATCATATTGTATGTATAGTTGGGGTTATTTTTTCCAATGTGCATACTTTATATTTATCCACATTAAATTTCATTTGCCATTTTGTTGCCCAATCACTTAGTTTTGTGAGATCTTTTTGAAGTTCATCACAGTCTGCTTTGGTCTTAACTATCTTGAGCAGTTTAGTATCATCTGCAAACTTTGCCACCTCACTATTTACCCCTTTCTCCTGATCTTTTATAAATAAGTTGAATAGGATCGGTCTGAGGACTGACCCTTGGGGAACACCACTAGTTACCCCTCTCCATTCTGAGAATTTACCATTAATTCCTACCCTTTGTTCCCGGTCTTTTAACCAGTTCTCAATCCATGAAAGGACCTTCCCTTTTATCCCACGACAACTTACTTTACTTAAGAGCCTTTGGTGAGGGACCTTGTCAAAGGCTTTCTGGAAATCTAAGTACACTGGGTCCCCCTTGTCCACATGTTTGTTGACCCCTTATGTTCTTATGTCTAGACCATTCCCTGAGATTTTGTAATCACTTGACTGTGACATCCAAAAGTTATTGTGTTCCATCCAAACAGAAATACATCACGCTGAGTATAAGCCATTGCAAGCTCTGCCAGTAATTTGTCTTACTGCTTTCAGTATTTAGTACAACCCTGCTGGGTGAATGAAGATACGTGGGGGCAGAAGAGGAAAAGTTGTGTGAAAACTGTTTCAAATTGCATTGAGTTGGTACATTTTGTTACTATGTCTTGTTTTCTTGACAGGTGCAAGCAACAAATATCCACCAGTAGAGCTCAGGAGAATTTGTACCAGAGCTCGCTCTCAGAAACCAGAATATGCACTAAGGGACCAACCACATGTGTGAGTCCAGACACTTATTTTATTATGACTTGTTGTTACATATGGGTAAATTGATGAGAGCGCCTAGTTCTCCTGGGTAGGGATTCCTATCAAAGGCCCTGAACCTGCAAACTCTCACAGATGTGCTTCACTTTATGCACATGAGTAGTTGTGTTGAGCAGTAATTTCATGTTCTGCCATCAAAATTATCAGTCGTTTAAAAAAAAATTGAAAACTATAGAATTGCAACAAAGATTTAAAAACGTTTTCATTAAAACCAGATACAAAATTCTCCTCCTGCCTGATTTCCGCTTGTCCTGCAGAGCTCATTTGTGCAAAGCACCACCTGCCCCAACACCAATGGTTGATTGTTTGTTTGGGGGGTACGTATTGTTCCAGATCTTAGGGCTTGTCCACATGAACGTTTAGTTTGCAGCAGGCTGTGGTGTAAATCTGACCTTCGCTAGCCCGCTATTCACTGTCTGTGTAGACCTTGCTGATGCACACTAACAGTTCCTTAGCGTGCTTTTAGCTACTCTCTCAGTGCACTAGCGAACTGTTAGTGCACAGCAGCAGGGTCTACACAGATACCTACTGCAGGGCAGGGTAGATTCATACCCCTGCTTGCTACAAATGGTGAAGACGAGCCCTTATTGAAATCTGAATACCTCTTCCCTGAGATGTTCAAGTCTTAACTCAACCTAAGGAAAAGGGCAGACATTGAAACAGAGGAAGTTAGCTAATACCAGCTATTTTTGAGTCGTCCTGCCAGGCCAAAATGTTTCCTGTTTTTTTATCCCCAGAGCTATCATAGATGACAGTTGGTCAGGAGTTGATGCCATAGCTGATGCTGAATACGCTGTTTCTGGGCATGCAACACTGATGTTCCAGGATGACGTAAGCAATGGTCCTCTAAACACCAACGGTTTTGCCAGCAGTACACATCAATCCTTGGTAACTACCGACATAATGGAGAATGCTACCAAAACACACGGAAGGAAAGATAACGTGAGTTATGTCTGATGTAAGGAAAGGAAGGGGAATGTCTGCTTAAACCTCACTGAGCAGAATGGACAGTTTAACCTTTGGAACCCTATGGATGACTTCACACCTTATAAGAAAATTGAGCTGAGGGAAAGGAGCCAAATATACCAGCTCTTCTCGGTCTCCTCCTCCTCTTCCTGCCATCAACCTAACCTCTTCTCTGCCCTCTGTAGACTCACTGATTCAGCACCAGCATGACAGGAAAAGGGCTCCTACACAAGCAGGCAGAATTTCCTGTTGCCACTTACCTTCTCCGTCAGTTAGCCTCCAAGCACAGAGCTGTTTCAAGGCTCCAGGCCCATTCTAAGCTACCTTCAGCTACACATGATCCTCTTAGTCGACCTCCTGTGGCTGTTTCCCAACATGAGGTGGGACAGCCTCTTATGTGGTTCGACCATGGCCTCCTCTTACCCCAAACCCAAATATTCTCATTGAAACAAGCACTCTCAGTAAAATCTTAAGACCTGGTCCACCTGAACTGTTGTGACCCTTCAAAATGAACTAATATTAAGGATGTGAACACGATCGTGTTCAAATAATACTAAGCAAGAATGCCTACGCTCATGTATTATAAACACAATTAGGATTTTGGCTGGATCTGCAGCCACTACAGTTTACTGGTCATCAGCACATTCTGTTCTCAGAATGCTGTGAAGGGAGCTGCATACAAAGGCTCATGGATAAATATTATGGCAGTTAGAAGAAGTGGAAATAAAAATATTCTTGTAAAATATCTAGCAAATTGAAAAGCAAATGGCTAGCATTCACTACTGCTTTCCAGCTCCCTTCACTACAATGCTTAGCACTTACACAGCACGTTTCATCTGCGGGCCTAAAATGCTCTACAGGAGCAAAGATTGTGATCTCCTGTTAATGGATGGGGAAACAGCCCGAAGAGGTTAAGGCTCCCGCTTTCAAACTTGGCTGCCTGAAGTTAAGCACATAAATAAGTGACCTAATTTTCAGAGGTATTGCACATCCACTGCTCTGATTGACGTGTTTCTGAAATATTTTTGTTTCCTTCATGGCCCTTGCATATCCTTTGAAAATAGCTGTAGAGATTTCCGTGGAGTGTAGTGTCAGGTACTGTTGTGATGGGGATTGAATGGATGCTCATTTGCAACTGCATCTCTACTATGTAGCACACATGCATCATCTTTCTCTGACCTTATTAGTTTTATAGACTCCTTTGTTGTGTAGCGCTTGTTCACATCCTCAGACATCTCCTCCTCCCCATCCCCATGATGGATATAGTCCATTGGTTTTGTTCTCAGAGGTGGAAAGCCTACCCATAATTCCACATTTCTGCCAACTGCGGAAGCAGTGTATGTAGTTTGGGGACTGGGGGGATTGGGCTCAGTCTCAGGGAGAAGTGAGGGCACTAATAGAGCCACTGCATCTGGCCATCTTGCCGCTCCTCCTAGCAGAGGAAAGACTGGCTTCATCAGCTGGCTAGAGACTTCTTCCCATCCTGGCCCTTTTTGAGAGGCGCCATAGCACATGCTCAGGCTGTGGCAAGAGCCAAGATTTGGCCATCACTCACTGTTTTGAAAAGATATACTCTACCTTAATACAATGCTTATAGGAAAAAGAGAAAAGCAACTGTATTGAAAACAAGGCTTTTTAATCCTCTGTATGGACAGTCTCATCCTAAAGAGAAGGCCCTTTTTGTTTTTGTTTTATAGATGGCTTGAACCAAAGCATTTTAAACAATGAAATGGTTAAATATGGCACTGGGCTGAAGAAACTAACTATGCTGCATGGTTCTGACCTATAAAAATTCCCGTCTCTGCCTCCTACAATAGTTTATTGGTGGAAAACCTGGAAGAAATGTGGACATGATCTGTGAGATACAGAATCATTTTATTCCTTTAAGAAATGGACAAGACTGTATTTTTAAAAACTTGAATATCTCTATCCCTATGCACGTAGGGTCTGCTCCTGTATAGTACTGAATGTGCTCAACTCCCATTCACTTCAGTGGAAGGTGAGGACACTTGGAAATTAACAGGTCAGGCCCTTAAGGAACTGTCTAGTCTCCAGGTCAGTTGTGCTTTGTTGGAGTTGGCTGGCAAGATGTGAGGCATGAATGTGTGTAACACTCTCCTCTTTCAATGAGTAAACTGCAGTGCAAATTCTTTTCAGTGAAACTTTACTTTCCATAGTCCTTCTACAGGTGTACGTTGTATTGTGTAAAGATAGGAAGAAGGCTTATTAGTCACTGCTGTGCTTTTCCAGATAGAGTAACTATGCAATTGGTGACTGAATTACTTCTTTTAGACCAAGGAGAACTCTAAAAGAACAGTGTGTCTTTAACATGGAGCATCTTGTCTGCCTTAAAACAAACAAAACACCAAAGTCATAAGCATAGGGCTTGTAAAATATACTTTCCAATGTAC